ATCTGTATCATGCGGAGTCGTGGAGAGTGAATTGATTAAGGGATATTATTGACGACGAATAATTGGGCCTAAACGCCCGAGTCGCACCCCAAACCCTCGCGGAATCGCCCCTCTTACTAATAAGACACCCTTTGAGCCGGTGTGCGAGAGACGAGGGTGGGAGGAGACGCCGTTTAACGGTGGGGAGTGATCGGATTCAATATTCATCTAATATATCGTTAATGTTGTTTACTCTTCGTCATTACTTGACTCCGAGCACGATCCCTTTTGTTCATTATGGGGCAACGTTGCTACCGCGAGAAAAATCCTTAGAATTCAGCCTCTAATGTGGACATAGGCGGATCCAGACACTTCGGACGGGGGGGAGGGGGGTAAGGGGAGCCGCGGGGGGCTCCTCCCAAAACAATTTCAATATTTTAATGAATGCAGTTGTAGTAATACAGCCAAAGTATGCAGTTAAAGTCAATTGCGTCATTGATTATTACCAAATTTAAGCGTTCTTCCTTCTTCTTCCCCCTGTTCCTTCCTTCTCTCTTTGTTCCCTTTTTATTCTTCCTTTTCGGGCGAGCTGGGGGAGAAGGGGGGCGTACGCCTTCCCTGGATCCGCCTATGAATGTAAAATATAGGCGCATCTGAGGGGATGTGGAAAAACACCTGAAACCCTTTGGCATGTCTTTTGCATAAAAAAAAGAAGAAAACAAGATAGTCTGAATGAGGTATTGCCGAGAAAAACAAGAAAAACCCCATGTGTGATTGCGGTATGACCGATCATCAGAAATAAATGAACCATGCAGCAAACTCCACTTCCGGGAAAATTCATTCTTTTTGTACGACACTCAATGTACATGTGTCGAATGTAACTCTTCACCTCTCTTAATTTAAAAATCTAAATTTCCGTTTATACTCCCATTTTCAAAATTATCTGTAAAGACGTTTATAGCCTGAGACGCTGAATGTCTTAAAATTATACCAACTAACTAACTAAAATCATAAGAGTAACGTGTAACGCGCAAAGTCTGAGGCGCGAGGATCCCGGAGGGTTAATTGAGCCGCAAAATGGTCAGTGTTTAACGAGTAATTCAGAATCCCTCCTAAATATTGCCAAATTAATGACCGGCTGGAAAGTGCATCGCATTTTATCTCCTAAACTTTTGAATTAGATTATTCTTCTTATTTCTTGAACTTTTGTTTAGAAAGATTCCTTTAAGGATACATTTCGAGAGTCTTAATTTGAATATGGAATTTTATTTCTTACTCATTCATTCTCTAATTTTTCTTTTAAATCGTTATTTTACTAAATTTTTCTATTCCAGTTTTTTTTCCAACGGCGTGCATATAATGTCCCATTTTTAAGTTACAAAATAATTCAATAACATTACCTTGAAAGATGTTGACGAGAAGATACTAACCACCCGATTCGAATTTCGTTTACTAGCGAGTAACATGCAACTGTCTGCGCTTCATGAAAGATTCCCTCTGAAAGTCGACTTCATATTTTGCGGTTGAAATTATTATACTGTTGTTTTGCAACGCCGCGAAGGGATATCTCGGAACTTAATTTACGCGGACGAAAGCGGCTGCGCGCGGGTGGCAAATTAATCTATTCTTCTGGTCACGTTTATTGGTGTCATCTATTGCCACCATGACCTTTGCCGGTCGTAATATTGGGCGGCTGGCGCGGCATGCTGATCATTAGCGGGACCACAAAGCGGTGGATTCGGAGCCCATAACTCATCGAGTGTTTGTTTAACTGGCTCCCGACGATTCCAGTGATAAATATTTTGGGGATGAAGGAATATTATATGTTGGGTATTCAATAAGCAAGACTTGCGAGGTATCTGAGGGGCTTGTTTGCCTGTGTGCAAGCTCTTTCAATATTTGACTTTTTATCTCTCTTCGCGTCTCAAGTAGAGGGGTCTAACTGACAATGAATGCATTCTGTTATGTCTCACTGATTAAGCTGTCCTTACGACTCCACGATTTCTGAAGCGTCAGGGTCAATATTTCAAACCACTACTGGCTTTCATGCAGTTATTCAGAATGAAACCTTTTTAATTTGCCGTGCCGTGGAGACTAAAAATGATCGTTTCATTTTTTTTAGTTTAATTTTTCCCCCATTAATTAATTGTTTTTATACGTGCAGATATTTAAAGGAACACTTAAAACAAAAGAGGAGGAAGGAAGAGAGGAAGAAAATTCTTAGTCTAATTCTTGTGATATAAATATGAGAGCCAAATCATTTACGCTTCTTAGGATTTTTAGTAGGTTTCAAATAAATATGTCACATACAAAACTGATTGTGTGAAGAGAAAGTTTTTGAAATTATAGGTGTTAAAGATCAATGTTTATTGTGTGTATCTCATTTGCTTGACCTCTGCGATTTTTAATGAAGAGTTCAAATTTTTCATGTGTTTAAAATTAAATGTTATTTGCGTTGCACATAGATGCGATCAATTCCTCTTGAAGTTTGTGCCAAAAGTGAAAGGGTTACGACCATGAATGACGTCATTTTTAGGAGCGTTTGACTGAATGACGGTCAGCTAAGAATGGAATAGGTATTTTACAAAAAAAAAAAAAAAAAAAAAAAAAAAAAAAAAAAAAAAAAAAAAATCCGTAGTGAGTTACGTCATTTATCAATGGCTCCCAAACCTGATGCGATTTTTAAGGTCATACCACGTATAAGTTCAAGGAAATTTTTTTTAAAAAATGCCCATTTACGCAGTACTTCAATTTTCCATGTACAAAATATGTAAAATTAATCGGAGAGAGCTGTACTAGTTCAACATCAGTGGAATTTTGGGAGGTCATATTTATGAGTCACATTTTGATCTTTCGTATCTTTTTTATCACACGCGACCATCGTTCCCGTTGATTTATTAATTTTAATAATGGTTTGTTCCATTCATTCGTTCTCCTTTACATATCCTAAAATCCAGAAATATTCAATTGGTTGATAGAGTATCGATTAGTTCCGCAAAGGGCTGAAGAACTATCTTAAGTATGATCGGATTATAGCGCTATTCTTCAGCTGGGGACAAAACAGGGCTCCTGCGGATCCTTTCGGATTATTATTTTGAATGAATGAATGATCGAAGAAAAAGACAAAGAAAGGCTGTTAGCATTTGCAGTGATCAATTATTCTAGGTACCAATCATAATCCATCTTGAAGGTTTATTTCCGATTCGAATTGATTATTTTTCTAACTTTTTCGTTATTTTTCTTTTTTCAGGTAAATGATTGATACCATTTTTGCTAGAGGCACCATTCCTATACGATAGTTCTGTGAGTTGCCATTAAATAATTTGATTGTTACTCTATCACTCTGTCAACTTTTTTTTCGTTGTGCCAACGGGCTACGCCCCCTTGAATGCTTCGCGCCTCAAGCATTATGCGTTACCCGTTACTCTTGTAATTTTATATTACAGAGTAGGATAAAGAATTTCTTAAGCTTTTAAAATCATCAATGTGGTGACTTAAACCTCTGTGTTGTGCAATCTGTACCTTAAAATATGGAGCTAAGTAGAATCTCCACGTAAGGACTTTTATTAACTTGATGGATGAATGTTTGCATAAGCGATTAATTTCAGGCGCGCCCATTTCCATCAAAATGTGAACGTCAACATACTGTCATATATCGCCTCTTTGAGAATATCATAATTCCATCCTGTCTCTGTTTACCTTTATTCCAAACTGCAAGGCATCGAAAGTAACATCAGCCTCGTCACGTATCTTTCTCATCATGGATCGCGGAAATGATTCGACTTCGCGCCCGCCAAAACTGCCCGGAGGATAAATATCTCCAAAAGAGCGAGTCAAGCTGATCCTATGATTCCATCAATCTAAGACTGAGACTGCCAAACGCTTACATTTTCAAAGAATTGTGCAGGTATACCGGAATGAATTTTGTTCGTGAATAACAATCATTCAATTTATGTGCAGATTTTCCCCCAAATATAGTTACTCAAGGGGCAATATTGTAAACCGCATTGTTGACTAATCTAATGCAGTGCGACTCAACAATAATCGCCTCATCGTAAAAATATTGATCCATTTCCAAAAAACTATTTAATACTAAATTGGAATTTTGGTTATTATACCTTTTCTAAACTTGAAGTAAAACCACTTATCAGTCCGGAGTGCAGATACTTCTATATATTTTAGGTATCATTTATTTTCCCCCTAAATTTTGTGCGCAGAATTTGCGAAAAACCGTCGACAAACCTCTAATCGTCGATGCAGCAGGAATTCCTAGAAAGTCGGTGATGCTTATTGATTACAGAATCGAACGTTTTTCAACTCATTTGGACTTTTTGATATGGACAGTCGTTCATTCATTGTGCAATTCTAAAGATGTCAACAGTCCAGTCTAAAAGAGCCCATCGTTACTACCAAAAAATAAATGAAAAAATAAAAATAAAAATAAATTATTAATTTGTCAGAAGGTTTGGTTGACCCTTTCCTCCGAATTCAAAGGAACTACCAAGCAGGTGGGAGAACCATAATTCAAAATTGGTAGAGATTGCTTGTAAAATGACATTCTTAGTATTTACAAAACTTCTACATTTCACATAAATTTGGAGAAAGCAAAAATTTGATACGCCTTTATCGATGTACGTAATTCGTGATGTTCGTGTATACCTGAAAGGACAGCACCCCGAACAATAAAAGTTCACCTCGAACAGTTGGTCATGAGGGGGCTCATACATCGGACGAAGATGCGTGAAGGCAGCCGAAGAAGGTGTGTTGGNAGGGGGGGAGGGTGGTATTCGGCGGGCAGTTATGATATGAAGACGGGGCGAAAGAGCGATGCGCGGGAGTGAAGCAACGTAAAACAAAATGACGGGGCATTGATGTGTTTGCGTTAGATTAATATTGAGACGAAGTTGGTTTTGCGGCAGGAGCCCAACGACCGCGCGCGCTCCGACGACGAGCGGGGCAGTGCAGCTGCAGCAACGCACCCGTGGCTCCGCCCCTCGCCGCCGCGGAGGACCAATGAGCGCGCTCCCGGCACGCCCCCCGAGGGACGTCGCCGCGACGCACTCGGCCCGCAATCAGTCAGTGTTTTCAGTTCCCCTCGTGTTCTCAGATGGTGTTAGATCAAATGTGTTTAGTTATGGAAGACACAGGTCGCCTTTTCCTGGGCTACCGCGGCGACTACCACATAGCGCAGCCCCACGCCGGCCCGGCGGCGCCCCCTAGCGCCCCCATGCTCACCCCGTTCGACGCCCCGCTGGACCTCCGCCCGGCGCCCCCCGGGGCCCCCGCCGAGGGCCCCCTCACCCGCGTCCTCCCCAGCGTGGACGACGAGTCCGAGGACATCAACGTCGACTCGGACGATTCCAGCGACTCCTCGCTCATCCAGACACAAGGCTTCCAGCGGCACTACGGCCAGACGGACCCGAAACCCGGCGACGAAGACGGGGCCAGCCCCGGACCCGACGGCGACGACTGCGACAGCAAGAAGGGCTCCTCCAACTCACTGGTAAAACCACCCTACTCCTACATCGCGCTCATCACGATGGCCATCCTCCAGTCCCCGCACAAGAAGCTCACCCTCAGCGGCATCTGCGAGTTCATCATGTCGCGCTTCCCGTACTACCGCGAGAAGTTCCCCGCCTGGCAGAATTCCATCCGGCACAATCTCTCGCTCAACGACTGCTTCATCAAGATCCCCCGGGAGCCGGGCAACCCCGGCAAGGGCAACTACTGGACGCTGGACCCGATGGCCGAAGACATGTTCGACAACGGGAGCTTCCTCCGGCGTCGCAAGAGGTACAAACGCCAGCCACCGGACTTCCTCTTGCGCGAGCACCACGCCGCTGCGGCCATGGCCTCCTTCCTCGGGCCGGACCCCTATCACCCGGCTCTCCTCGGCCACCACCCCCCGCTCCACCACGGTCCTTACTCCTATTTGTCGCCCCTGCCGCCGGCCGTGCCGCTTCTCCCGCCGGCCGAGCTCGCCAGGCTGTCCATCGGGCTCAACCTTCTGTCCAACTCGAACCAACCCCTGAAACCTATCCCTGTCTCGGCCAACCAGCCGCCTACCACCCGCACGACGCTCTCCAAGACCACGTCCGGCTTCAGTATAGACTCCCTCATCGGGAAGGGCGACTCCCGCGAGGATATGAAACTCAAGACGCCCAAACACGAGCCGGTCGCCCGGAGTCTGGATTCGGCTTTCACGCCGCTGACCACTTGGGACAGGTGAAACTTGTCCAGGTCATTGACCTGTGCGCGACCTCTTCCGTTTGACTGTGATAATTATAAATGAACTTACCGTGTAGTCTCTAGCTTTTTCGACCCGTGTATAGTCTTGTAAATAGCGTCGAGTCTAGTGAATAGTGCAAATACCAAAAGCTCACCTCCCGTCGATATTACCAAGTTTTCCCATTCAAACGCTCTTGGAAATAGTCGGAAAAGTGAAAAGTGTATCCAAAATAAACTTTCGCGTGAGCGGTTACTTCACAATTATCTTGCCCGTGGATTTCTCATCAGTCTGTTACGACACTATGGAGTCACTTCTGACAAGATGTCTCGTCACTCGCTTCTCATCAAATTACCAGGATCAGAATGTCTCATCTACAGGCAAACAACCATAATGGACACTCCTCCGATTCTTCCCGGCCGACCATCATCCACTGATCTGCTTCTTTTCCGAACTGAAACTGAAATCTGTTGGAAACCAGTAAGATTTAAGTCATTTAATAACCATTTCTTGATTTTATCTTTTAATTTTTGCATTTCTTTTTTTCTACTTCCGAGAGTGCAATGCAGAAGTCAAATACTTTCCCGACTCTTCTCATTCTCCTAATGGTTCTTCCTCGTTGTGAGGAATCATTTTCAACTATTCATACTATAGTATCATTATTCGGTGTAGGAATCATTCATTCCTAAAATATGACGCACTTCGTAAAAAAAAGAAGAAGATAGGATTGGTTCATTTTACTACTTTTACACCTGATTTTCGTCCTTTTAAATCTGTTTAAACCCTCATTCCAGTCATATTTTAAAAAAAGTATACGATGAGTTTATACATTTTTGAAAAAAATTCTGCCTGAATTTAGGTTCGTCACATCGGGCTCTCATGTCTGATACCATCAATGAGTCGAATTTTTTAGCACCTGCCTATCATTAAATGAAGGTCAAATTGGCTTTTATACGCACATGACGAACAAATAAAATTGAAAACCGAGAATATGTTTCGAGTCACTGTCAAGTTCTTCTGTTCTTAAAATTTCAATGTCTCATATAGCCATGAGAAATAAGTACAAAAACTCCCGTCAGTAGGTAATTTTGAGATGGCCGAAGTCAATCAATCCGTTAATTGTAGGCATGATAAATATTTTACTTGCCTTTGGGAAATACACCATTTAATGGCATCGGGAATAGCATATCACTACACCTATATTGATGATGAAACTAGAGAGCCCTGTTTCTCTGTTCGTAACGAGGAAAACTTTCTGTTACATTTCATTGACACTGCAACCGTTTTTGCCTCGTTTCTCTCTCCTAGAAATGTATTCTAAAAATTTCATGCAAAAATATCAGTTTTATAGTTTTCCATAGAAAGTAAGAGAGAGCAGAATTTTCGCAACAATATAATTTATATTTTTCTGCGATTTGCAAGGTGAACATAGAATTGCGC